TGTTACTTTAAACCTATAAAGGATTTATTTTCAATAACCATGAGGCCAAGAGACCTGCATTTGTGCCTGTAGCATGCCTGAATAAAGGACTACCATGTTTGTTCAAATGCAATATCTTGCCTGCCTTTCAAGGTCACATAGGTCAAATTTGCTCAAATCTTAAAACAACTTCTCAATAACTAAGAGAACCCTGATATTGAGCCTATATCATGCCTGTATGAGAGGCTACGGAATTTGTTCAAATGAATGACATTGACCGACTTTCAAGGTCACAAGGGTCAAATATGTTAACATCTTTAAACAACTTCTACTCAATACCCAAAAGGCCCAGATATCTGATATAGCATGCTTGGATGGAGGGCTACCAGGTTTGTTTAAATGAATGACATTGATCTACATTCAAGGTCACAGGGGTCAAATGTTCTTAAACCTTTAAACGACTTTTTAATAACCGATAGGCCAAGATATCTGATATTGGGCCAATAGTATGCTGGGATGAAAGGCTACACAATTTCTTTAAATGAATCAACCTAGCCTTTATACTGTTCTTTTTGAATAAAGTTGTAATGAGCTTAGCATCCACATAAAAGATCAGCTTCAGAAGCAAGTGAGCGATACAGGACCATTGGGCTTTTTATTTAATATCTATCTTCTATCTTCAGTACTGTTGGCTGGATTGTTTTCAGACTTTATCCAGTGCTTTTTGAAGAAAGTGCTTGCTTTGAATAGCTTTTCAGGCCCGGCGGTCAGAGGTCAAGATTTCTGTTACCATGAATAGAAAATTAGTTTAGGCACACTATTTCGAATTCTGTTGATAGTCTTTATCAAGTGCTACTTGGAGAAAGTGCCTGCTTTGGCGGTCAAACTTTAAAGTCATTGCTACATTAGAAAGAATTTGCTTAGGATACAAATTGTAGCTATTGAGACATCGATGTCAAAGTTCAAGGTTAATGTTACTATGAATAGAAAAACACTTCATGCACAATATTTGGAGCTCTTTTTGGCCGTATGCACTCAGACTTTATCCAGTGTGAGCAAAATGTTTGCTGAAAACTTTGAGTAGCTTTTCAGCCTTGGATATCAAAGGTCAAAGTCACTATACATAGATACAGTTTGTACACAGTATATCGAATTCTGTCGGACTGATTACACTCAGATTTTATCTAGTCCTTCCTTGAAGAAAGTGCCTGCATGGGATAACTTTTAAGGTCCAGTGGTCAACGGTCAATGGGTCACTATAAATAGAAAATCTGCTAAATGCACTAATGCACACTATCTTGATTTCTCTTGGGCGAATTGCACTCTGACTTTATCCAGTGCTTCCTCAGAGAAAGTGCCTACTTAGGATAACTTTCCAGGCCCGGGGGTTAGGTCTCTATTACTGTCATTATATGAATAGAAAATCAAGCTTTAAAATGCACTTCTTATATTTTGAGTTATGTTGGGCTGATTACACTCAGACTTTATCCAGTGCTTTTATAAAAGAAAGCACTTGCTTCATGTATACCTAACCACAGTTTCTTTTAAATCTTCAATGAACATAATTATCGAGAATAGAAACGGCGTCATTTAAAACACATATATATATGAATAAATCTTATTACCGTTGAGCTTGTAATAACAATAATAATTATAATTATATTATTGAAAACAGTCAGAACTTATAATTATGAAAAGGCATTATCATGAAAAATAAAAACAGAGAACAGAGAGAGGAAAGCTAAACAATCGTTGACAATCAAAGACAGTATTTATTTTAAAATATGTGTACAAAGAACCGTAACCATATTTCTTCTACGAATGAATTGTGTATGGTGCTGTGTACTAGCACCAACTTGTAAGAAATAAGAGATATACAGTTAAGCTGTAATGATTAATGTGGCACGTAATATTTGATAAAATGGTCAATATGTAAACTTTATTCGGTTAAAAATAATTATGAAACAAGTTATTTCAACTTAAATTAAACACTCTCGTTGGTCCGGATTTTAGCGTGCAGGGGGTCTTAATGTGGGAGAATACCTAAGTACCCGGAGAAAACCCACCAGGTGACCCCATACCCTTTTCACGTCCGATCGAGGAATTGAACCCCGGTCGCCTTGGTTAAAGACAAGAGCGCTATCCACTGTGCCACCCGACCACCCACAATGATAAGGGGGTCGTATAGTGATAATGTTACACAATATAACGAAATGTGGGATCCTTTTGATACATGGTGACATATTCATAAAAAGGAAAATGTATGCTGCCTTTCTATTAGAAAGTACACACATATTTACATTTTCCCTTGAATAAATTTTTGTTGTTATATATACTAACTCAACGCAGAGCATAGAAACAGATGACTGCAATCAAAATATTTTTAGGTATATCTATAAGGTTTGCATTCATCGATCACACTTATGAATGCATTCACGCATAAATTGCAGCAAACATTCTGATGATGAAACTTGTTTACAGAGAGGGAATCAAATGGATCAGGTCACTGGTTTTAAATGTTTAATGATGTTTGCGTAAATTTTGGAATGATAGATTAAACTACAAACCATCATTAAATGACCGGTATAAAAAAAATATATATATATATTCTTGCAAACTCGAGGTCTACGTTATTGATGTACGTGTTAAACAAACTTGTTCTAAAGAAAACATGGGTAACATGTACATGAACTTCAGACATACCTCTTACCTGAAATCACATCATAAACCTGATTATCCGGGCGCATATGCAACTGTCGCTTTTTAGTATCAATTTCCAAAGGTTATTCTCTCTTTGCTGTTTCCCCCGGTAATATTTCATATGCTTACGTATGTTTTTTCACGTTGACGCCGAAAATATTTTTTTTTCAGTGAAGATATACAAAATGCTTTATTAGCAGTTTTTTTAAATATTTTTTTATTAACTAATTTGAAATGCAGTTTCTGTTCACTGCATGCTAAGTGGTTTGTTATTTTAGTTTAAGGTGCAAAGTAAGCGACGGTAGAAAAAGTCGTTTGTTTTGCTACACCTTTTTTGCAAATACTCAATGTATTACGTAACTAACCTACGCACATGCACATTGTTTATTCTTAGGAAATCCTACCAGATAAAAGCAATATGAGTTCGAAAAGTGTCAGCAGAAAATACAAAAACATACACACACATATATATATATATATATAATACTGAAGTGTGAACAAATTCAAAGGCAAAATTTGTGAAATCTATGATAAACTACAGAAGAAAAACAAATTCCACATCGAAATTCAAAAGACAACTTATAATTTAAGATCACATAGCTATATATAACATCGCAAAAGGGCTCGAACATCGGTTTCTTTCTAGTGTGTTTATAAACAGGATTCACAGGTAAGAAACATTGGTCAAATTACAATAATCAACACTAAACAATTACACAAATAGCTAAGTAGCTAAGAAGCAATAAAACATGGATGCGGATTAAGAAAAGTAACAGCTAAATGCTTATTATGGACATCACGTATGCAATGACAAAGCTTGTTCGTTTACGTAGGTTGGAATTGACACTGGAAAGCATTTTATTTAATGAGGCGACATCATTTTTATGATTGATGTGTCCTCTTGAATAATGATTTAAAACAAAAATTGAGCGTATTTTGAATGCAATGTCTGGTAACACAAAAACGCTTAGTTTCTTTGTTCAAACTTCCAAACTATAGAATTTTGTTTGATATTTATACATTCTCCACATCGTATCTTGTAAATTACTTGATAAAACATTAATGAGTTCTTAGGTTTCCTGAAAATATTGAAAGATTGATTTACAGAATTTATCGACTATAAAATATAGCAAATGTTTGTGCATCAACATATTATGTATACATGTAATACACATGCATACAAAACATAGATTAGCATTTAACGAGTGTACATAGTATTTTATCAAGGCAACAAAAAGCAACAAATGAATATCGAACAGTATAAATCTAAATTTCGAAATATAAATATGAATAAGGAAACGTTTACACAACTATTTCTTAAAAAGCGCAAGTCAGAAAGTCAAGAAGGTAACCGGAATGGTGAGCGTTTTTTCATCGACAGCACCCGCCAGTACATCCTTTGTCAAATCAGGTTATTTCACGTTTAAAACCGGGGCAGTAACAACGAAACCGCAATGCACAACTATCAATAAAATAAAAAGAAGCTGATATCCATATTGCATAAATAAATAATTAAAAAACTATCAGTGTAAGGCGTTTGTCTCCAGTCAGCGCCATACAAAAATTCCCTAACACTTTGTAATAACTACAAAGTATTGTCATAGGTTGTTCGAATCAATGGATATGCAAATCAGGAAAACTATAAAAAACAGTTTACTGTCTAGTGATCTTGATTGATGTAAAAGCTGCCAAAGGAGCTTGGACCTTTGATAAATGCATTACCTTGCGCAGCTTTAATGCATATCTACAGCTTGATATCAGTTTAAAGTATAGTTTCATTTAGCGAACATATAATATAGATGCAAAAGTATTCAAAAAATCAATTTAATTTGACGCAAAGCAAAAATGGCAAACGTTCTAATAAATACTAAATAAATGAACTATTACCTTTAATTTGATGTTACATTAAGCTGAAGAGGCTCGATACAACTGGATATCGGGCCAAGCTTATAAAATCCTAGTTAGCTTAACTCTAGCAAACCACATTATTAAGTTGCATATTAGGTAAAAACATCCCCACTTAAATCAATCGTTGACCTACATTTCTAGAGACATAAAAGAACACACGAAGTAGAAAAGCTTTAGAATATTTCTTATTTCTAAGACATTTCTTAAAAATGATTATTGTAGTTTAAATTTGTCTTACAAGTTTTCACCTTATTCAGACTTAAACTCTTGATAAACGATGTCGACAAGTGGGTGTGAAATATCTCTTTTTTTTTCCTGATTGAACATTTTTGTGATGTAATTTGTCGTCACAAGGTACTTATCGATCGTTGTTGGCTAATTTGTTTTCTTCTTATTAAAAATGGAGCTTTTTTGACAGCAGATCAGTCATGACTATTCAACGATTGGTATATATAGCCGCGTTCTTTACAACTACTTGTCAACAGCCTTCATCAACAGACACCTGCAGATCCAACAAGGTAATGGTATTATTGGGAGATATGGGTTTATTCGTTAACGGGACACACTTTTGTGTTTGTTTAATAGATTATTGCTGCAATAAGTAGCATGATACTTTCTTGTTCTTTATTTTAATTGTATATGTTACTTAATACATCTTTAGTAAAACTAATTGGAAAATGATTATCTATATATTTTAATGCAAGGATCTGTTTTTAACCGTATGACAGTCTGTGTCATTTCGAAACAATTCGTTAAGTTATTACTTGAAATGCTGTATAAAAACCAACTTGATGTAAAGGCCGTTTGCTTTCATTATGTTTTAAGTTTTTACCTAACCTTAAATATCACTGATTTTTATTTATTTTATCAGTTATTCTTATATCTTATACTATTTCAAGTTTCGTAGAATTTCATTTGATGATAAATACTAAATCATAAACATGATAAGAACTGCTCCATATCTTTTTTCATAATATCAACGATTTCCATTATGTCAGTGTTGATATACGGATGAATATCAGACACACTTTTGAAAAAATATTTTTAAATCTGATATTAGAATGACCAGATAAACTACTTAAATTAACGGAACTTATACAGATATGCTGGAATGTAACATTATCTTTGAACGTTTTTGTTAATGATTCAACCAATGATAAAGCAGTAATTAGTTATGAGGAATATTGCCATTCGTCACTTAATTAGCATCTAAAATCTAAAAAAAACACGAGCATTGTTATCTAAATGTATCAATTAAATAATATTTAAAACTGTTTCTGAGATTATAATACATGTACAACATTAAATATTACAGATCTGAAACAAGACTGTTGTATACTCGGCGTGGTTACAAAAGGTCAAAATGCTGGCATTCACTGTACTACTGGTAGCCTGCGTGGTGGCCGGAAGCTCAGCTACCAAGTCCAGTGGTATTAGCTTAGGACAAATCTCAGGCAGCAGTGGAAGTATCAGTCGGCAGTTAACCTTAGCCCCACGGATGTCAATGCAACAATACAGGCTGTCGCGTCCAAGTATCTATACCAGGAGATCAGTTCGTCGTACTTATCCTGCTCCGAAATACAGGTCTTACAGTTCCGGAGCTGGTAGTTATGCAACCAATATGTACAACGATAACTCGCAGGGACTTTTAGGAGGCAACGCATACCTTTCAGCTCCATCATATACAGGATCGAGTGGATCATATATAATCCCAACTGCCTATCAAACAGGTTTTTCTTCGCCGGCATTTTCCGGATCATCACAACAGGGATCATACGTAATGCCAAGCACCTACCAGACAGGTGGTACATATAACATCGGTTTAGGAGCACCAGGGACTACGTTAAATGACGCGCGGTCATCTCTTTTTCTTCTGAATCAACCTACATATTCATCTGGCACATTCGGTAGCAGCCAACTCATGGCCCCAATATCGCCAAAGGTAATGTCAGAATTAATGAGAATAGTTATTTTGAAACAAAAAGATATAAAAAACGAGAAAAATCAGAATGCTAGAAAAGATCATTTAAGAATAGTGAGAGCAGTATGATTTACATCACTGCCTCATGCAGTTTGATGAATAGTAAAAATGATATAAACATTTGTTCAGAAATGGTAATATTTATGCTGTGCAAACATTGCACTGTCTTCGTTTTGTCTTTGCTTTCTCCCCAACTTTGTTTTTAAATATTTTTATATTCTAATTCACATAAATATTCAAATTCTCCTTCAATTGTTAAACGAAGGTGAGACATGCATCGCCCATCCATTGAAATTACGGTTAAAATACATTTGGCTGTGATTGAACTTGTTTTTTGTTTATACTTTATTAGTATTTGATAATGACTTTTGTTTCAGACCGGTCATATGGGTAGCTACTAGCCTGGGCAATGTACCACGACGTTGGATCGCAGAGAAGCAGTTCGATGGATGCGAACTTATTTGAATGTATATGAATGTTTGTATTTTGTCATATAAAGAAGCTATATTAACTACTGTCTGGTTCTTATTTTACCTTAATGTTAAACTAATCTACTCACCTCTCATAATGAAAAGTAAACGCATGTTCTAAGCTTTTAAATGTTTCATCTGAAATTAATTACAGCATGGACACATTAGTCAAGATACAAAATATTTTTTAATTTGTTTAATTAGGCAAAAAGAAAGAACACAAATCGTCTACTAAAGCACATGGCTGACAGTTGTCTCACCAAGTGTTCTATCTTAGTGTATTTATAGCAAACTTATGTATTTTCACAAATGCTAATCTTCGACTAATTACGACATTTAATATTAATATTAATCTTATATAATACTCTGGGCGAGATGCAGATGCAGAAATACCTATCGGCCTATATAAACCTTAACCAAAAAGCGAAAACACTATTCGCTTATTTAAGTGTTAGATCTTGAAACGTATGTTGTGTAATTAAACCATCTTTTAATTGCTGGGTTATTTTCGTCCTGTCACACTCAAAGTTGGACATTCTAGTTATCTTCACATTCCAGTTTATAACACTACCATATACCTAAAGAACTAAGTTCCATAATTGCAATTCACGACGGAACAAAGTGACTGGATCTAATATTGCAACATACTGCCCCGTCGTTATAAAGATGAAGTATGGTATACTGTTTTGATTGAGGCGTTCCAATTGTTTGATTTGTGTGTATATGATATAGTAACGGTTAAGAGGCTCATAACTCCATAAACCACTATTATGGTGTTTAAATACATTCCGGTGTTTATTGGGAATGAGTTTGTGTAGTTAAATATTAAAATTGGCCTAATACACTGTCGTAATTGCCTTACAGAAAAGGTAAACACATTCACAAAAAAGGGATTACAGAAGTGCAGACAAAACGTAATTCGATTTTCAAGAAATAAGAACAAATGCCAAAGTTTAATCAAAAGACATACTAGTATTGATAAAAACTTAAACATGTAACAGAGTGGTACATGTATTGAATCATCTAAGTTGATGGCTAAGATTCATAAACATCATTCCAACCGAGGGACAAGCCGCATTTCGTTTGTGATAAATTGACACAAACATGTGATTGCACGTATACAAAATAGAAACACTGTAAAAACAGGAAGCCACAAAACGACTCACACTTCCCCACACAGCTGTTTCTCACACTTCCCCACACAGCTGTTTCACACTTCCCCACACAGCTGTTTCTCACACTTCCCAAAACAACTGTTTCACACTTCCCCACACAGCTGTTTCATCCTCCTGAGTCTTATCGGTGATGCAAGGGGACAAAACATGCTTAAAATACTACTGAAACAGAAGCGGAGGTTCGGAAAACCACATAATTATATACATTTCAAATACTATAAGATTACTGGTTATTTTTGAAGTACTAATAAATACATTGTATAGTGCGTGTATTTGAAGACTGAGATAACCAAACCTCCATAAGTTAGGTAATAGGTTTGTATCTTTATTTTCGACCTCTTTAGTTTGTTTTGTTGCAATGTCAAAAAGTCTTTTTATGAACGTGTATTTGTTTCATGTAACTGAGCACGTTTAACAAAACAAATAAAGACGGAACATGCCAGAAACACCAGACATGTTATTTAGTGTGAAGAGCAAAAATTAAACAAGGAGAAAGAAAGGGGTTCAAGAGAGGAATCAGAGAGGCAGTTCACGTCGGTGCAATCCAGGACCCTATCAACAAGTAACATATATAGACGACACAGTTCCTTAACAATAACTACCATATATAGACGACACAGTTCCTTAACAACTAAAGTGCGATATTGAATCAGGCGACTTTTAGTTTAGTCACATATGGCATCGGTGTCATGTGATCCCTCATGCGGCGTACTAATTTTTTCCATGTAAAAGAGTTATCAGAAGCAGTTCAACTCCTACCATTTATTAATTTGGTGTAAGAAAGTTTTTCTACCTCATGTTATTATTATTTCTATCACTATTGGGTTATCACTAAATTAATATATAAACTGGATTCGAAAGGAAATATGTTTCCACCAAATGTGAGAATATAACTATGCATAGGAGGGCCATGTATATGTCAGACAATGTAATTTACAAAATATGTAACAAACTTGCGTGCATTACACAATGATGGATTGATGAATAATGTAGATATTTTAGATCGGTAAAAAGCTAAAACCTTTAGTTAAAAACTGACCCATTTCCTTTTATAACAGGGAAAAACAAGACACACAAGAATGTGACTGACTCTAAAATTTGGTAACGGAAACAGCATGCCAGTGAGACTGTGACCAAAAGAAACCCGCCAATGGGTGATCGAGTGTATCATGTTGGACTAACGACGGGAGCCAATGTCTGCTAGAAAAACGTTTGTGCAATGAATCGGCCCATAGCCAGATATATGATTGTGTAAATCGTTGGGAGAACCCTGGCCATTCATTTATTTCCAATTTTGGCCAACATTCTGTCAACGTATATAATTACACTTTGAACCGAGGTCAGTACATTGGCGGTTCAAAGTTGGCATCTGATGGAGGAATGGGACGTTGCCCCGAAAACAGTACAACAGTGTTTATACGTCAGGTATCATCCGTTGTTTAGGATACTGTAATACCAGATTTGATACTGGTTACAATAGACAAACGTTGCAAAAGTGTTATCACCAACTGTTCTAGTAGTTTTATATGTTTTTATGTTTAGTCACTCTTGGTCGTTATTGGAAAAACCAAATGGACAGGCCGTTCGATATGACATACATAATTACAAGTTATCTAATTGAACGATTAAAGTTTTTCATCAAGTTCATTTAAAAATAGCATCATACAATCTATATCTTAACCATAAGGGAATACAGTACTTGCCGATATTTACTATTCAAACAAAAATATTATAGTAACAAGAATGCCTTATTTTGAATGAGCATCAATTCATTCGCTGTGGTATAAGAAATGACGGCTCCTAACGGACATTTCCTGTTCAGACATCAAGTGTAGCTGAACATACAAAATACACAATGTATGGATGTTGACGGTTTACTTTTGTTAATTTATTGCTCCGAAGTTTAAACAATATGAATCACAATGATAATTTAACAAAAGTGTGGACTTGCACATATATTTTGGTAAAATAACAGCCATGATACGGTAACGTTAATGATATACAAATCGATTTAAATGAATAGAAAAATGACCATGGAACATTTAGCATATTTTCAGATTTTAAGTTATGTTTTTGTTAAGGGTAGTCACGAAGGAATGTATTATATAGATATATATGTGTATATAAATATATATGTGTATGTGTATATTTAACATTTATTTACACATGAAAACATCTTATGAGCCTTTCTGGCTAATAATTAAAAAATACACCCTTGACTAATGGGAAAAGACCCAAAAATGTAAATGCTAAAAATAAAAGAAGAAATTCAACAATGAAAAATAGACATAATACCGAATACCGGTTAAAAGGTTAAGTAAATGCCGCGATTTCGATTTTATTTTCAATATGAGAATCAACATTTATGCAAATGCCCCACACTACAAGTACATATATTACGTGTATGAGGAAGTGGAAATGTAATAAACTTAATTCACTGACAGACTTGTATCATCACAACCCAATACTTAAGGTTAAAGCTGTACGTATAGCCTATGAATAAATAGCAGATCGTTTATATTTAAATATATGATACATATCTAACCTGTTAAAAGCTTTTCTTAAAACACATATATAATACAAGATGCAAGATATACATGTAAGACACTTTCTTTACGGTCGGAACTCAGTGAACAAGAAACATTACACAATATCAATATAGCTCATTTGAGCTATTATAACGAAAGTCATATATAAAACAACAACAAGACATATGTTGCATGTAACGGGAGATAACCGCAGTTAACTTATTCACAAAAAAAAGTTTCTAAGTAGTTGGGAACCACCTACCTAGAAAGACCCCCGACACACGACACACGACAAACGACACATAAGGCACGTACAATTATAAAAAGAGTGTTGAGATGGAAAAAAACCCTACAAAGCTGCATTTTCAGATGAGTAATTATCCAAATAAGGCGACATTCAATACTGAACACGTTTATATTACATGAGCATCATATAAACTAAAGATCAAAACACTATCCAGTGTGATATTGATACAGTGCTAGATAATAAAGCAAAGTATAAAAGTTGAAAGATCATACACTTAATTAGTGAGAAGTGTTTTAAATAATATTTAATAATCAGGGACACGATCCGTGTTAACACAAACCTATACACCTTGAAATATTAGGAGGTTTTTTCAGCTCTGAAACACCTGATGTTCGTTCCCGGGATTAATGTGTTCAGTGGAAACCGTTGTCCCGCATTCTGAGGCAAGGAGGCCTAACCATAGTTATATACTTAGAGGTGATGAGGTGTATGAAGCAGACTCGTCGTTATGTACAGGCCATGTTTTATATACCGTAAATGTTGATGATTTAGAGGAAATGAGGATCAATTGATTATTCAAAGAGTTCCTTATTCAGAAATGCTTAAAACATGATAAATTTCCACGCTTCTCCTGCCTTGGAGTTTTTTGATAATTATTATGTTTGAAATCTATAAGCATTAGTGTTCATAACTATTTTACCTTGATCGCTGTGACATCGCACTGACGTCGTCGAATAGATCATGTCAGCCTCCGATTTTGAAAAGTGTAGTTATTGGTGACTACAATATAGACGAGAATACTTGTTTTACATTTCAAATTCAGTGACGCCTTACAGAAACGATCTGGACAACTGTGAACCATTACTTCTATAGATAGATTACGGGGATGCGGAATTGATTTAAGACCAAAACGAATGTTTGATAAAACAAATTCGTTCTATTGAGATTCTATTAGTATTTATTTTTTGATATGGTACTTTAACGTTAACTCTATTGGCTGTATTTCGGGTGAAAACTAATAACACATCCCATTTATTTTGTTTTTCTGTTAATGCTTGAGTTGTTTCCCTTCGAACGTAATTTATTATCAACTTT